AAAAAAAAAAAAAAAAAAAAAAAAAAAAAAAAAGGCTCATGTAATTAGGGGAGGCCCACCCAGATAGTCTCCCTAACTTAAGGTTAAATGACTTGGAAACTTAATTTCATCTACAAAATCCCGTCACGACAGTACCTAGATTAGTGTTTGATTGAACAAGCAGGAAAAGGTGTGTGTACACCAGGAGCCGGGAAATCTTGGGGCCCTCCTGTAATTCTGCCTGCCACCCACAGACCGTTGGGGGGTGGAAGCAGCACAGTCTTTGGAACCAGAAGAAGCTGTGTTCACAGAGTAACCGATTTTTCTACATACTAGCTATATGGCCCCAGGCAAGTACTTCAATTTCTCTGAGCCTTAGCTTCTCTATCCAGAAAATAGTGATTGTAGCACCCACTTTCAGAGGGTTATTGTGAGTTTTAAATGAAATACATTTTTAAAGGACTGTCACATAAGAGTGCAATATTTGGTTATGTACTGAGCTCCTTGTTTAAGGGTAGACAATAGGACTTCTTGTCAGGGATTCTGCAAAGGGACACCAAGATAGGGAAATCTTGGAATATCTTTTAATAGTTGAATATATGATTTTAAAGTTTTAAAAAAAAAAAAAATGAGAAAAGCCTATGGCTTTTTGTAAACATTCTTGGAAGAGTTAATATACTTACACATTAGAATAGGGCCTTAATTCATTGGTATTAACTTATTTTTCTAGTACAGATTTTAAGAGGGTGGAGCCTATGTGCTCAAAATAGGGGAAGGGCAGCAAGAGGTGGGAAAAAATCAAAAAGGAGACACAACCATCCTAACAATCTCACTGAGGACTGCAGGTGGCTTGTACATCATAGGTTTGAACTACGCAGGTCCATTCATACACAGATTTTTTTTAACCAATTGCAGATTGAAAATATAGTATTTGTGGGATGCAGAACCCACATACATAGAGGGTGGAATTTTCATGTACAGGGGTTCCACAGGGACAACTACAGGAGTTGAATATCTCCACATTTTGATATACATGGAGGGTCCTGGAACCAATCCCCCTTGCATACTGAGGGACGACTGTAGTTCTGATTAAGTAAGTTATATTTGCAACTGCAGGTATCTACAATGGAAATTTCTGTCTTAAGTTGAGCTTGGAGTAGAAACCTAAGTTTTTCTGAGCCAGCCCTGCAGGGCAGAGGTCCTGTTCTAACTTACTTCGTACATATGCATCCTGGTTTCCTTGTCCTGCTTTCCTATGAAGGCTTTTCAGCCAGATCTAAGATTGTACCACAGATTCTGATTCTTGCCTTAATCTCTGGTCAGACTTAACAGCTCATTTGTTGACTCAGAGCCTGAGCCAGCTTGTCCTCTGTCCTCCCCCACTCTTCCCATCCTCAGCCTGTGCTCTCCACACTATGGATGGCCCCAGTCTGTGCACTGTTTTCAGCTTCATTTCTCCAACATCAGTAATGGCATCCCAATGGGATCCATAATGCCTCATTAATTACAAAACTATCCAACCTTAACAATCATCTGCGGGTCAGCTCAGCATACATGAGTTAGCACATGTTTTATTTTCAAACACTTAGCACATAAAAGTATCTGGTTGCACACATTACTCCTGTATCCCACCATTCACCAAAATGACGAACTCGCTCACCTTCCCCCCAACACACACACAGCAACCAAGCAGCCCTTGCCCAGCGAGCCACCTACTGGCCAGTGCAGGGAATGACTGCCCAAGACCTCTCCTCACCATCTCCTGTGACTCCCTCCAAGGTCACCGGGCACACCACTAGCTCCTCCCTTCCTCCTTTCAGCATTCACAGATCCATTAAATCTCTCACAAATGATTTCTCTCCCACATGTTTGTTTCCATCTACTTTCATCTTCTTTCTTCTTTGTTGTAGTGGATTGAATTATGTCCCCCCAAACATACTGAAGCTTGAATTGTGTCTCCCAAGTTTTACATATTAGAAAATTAGCCCCCACTGTGATTGTTAGGAGGGTGGGAAATCCTATTATGGTAATTGAACGATGGAGCCTTGAAGAGGTGATTAGATTGTAGGACTGTGCAGTAGTGAATAGATTAAAAATGGTGGTCAGGGGCATGATTCTGAGGGCTTTGAAAGAAGAGGAGAGTCTGTCTGTCTCTCTGTTCTCTCTGCTTCCACCATCTTGCAACATGAGACTCCTGGGTCACTGTCGCCACCACCAGATGGACTTTGGACCTCTCAGCCTCAGAAACTATAAGCAATAAATTTCATTTTCTTTATAAATCACCCAGTTCAGTGTACTTTGTGATAAGCCACAAAAACGGACTAATGCACTTATGAAAAAACAATTCTACTCAATTCTTCCTAAACAGAAGATGACACTAATCATGAGTGAGGAATAGAGCCAGCTTGAGATCTTTGTGGGTCCTAGCTGCTCTCACTTTTGGAGGAACCACCCTACGTCACATCAAATAGATTTAAATTCCTATTTTGTTAACTTTTACATTAATTATAACTTATATGTTTTGACATAAAAGTTGAGTTGCCTTTGACTGATTGACATATGTTGTGTACATTTATTCATTTTACCATTGCAGTTTTCATATTTTGGAGTCATCACTCCCCCCCACCTCCCCATCCCAAGCATTTTCTCAGATCTATAAAACTAGTAAGCACTGTGCTTATAGCGCCTAATGGTAAAATTGACCTTCCTGATGATCTTTAAAGGGTGAAACTAACAAATGTTCCTTCTAGTTAAGAAAATATATATATATATATAGGCAGCATATTACATTAGCATCAAACTATGAGTGTTCAACAAAACTTGGTGGAAACAAATAATAAATTTAACAAAATCAATTTATCGTATATTAAAACGATTCTTACTACGATTTTTGTACTACATGACAATCCAGCATAAATCACCGATTAGAAATAATATTAATAAGCAGCAGTGTCGCTGCACAGTCAA